AGATAGTGCTCTCCCCCCCCCCCCCACCCCCCGGAGAATAAAGTGGAAGAAACACTGACTATCTACTGCATGGGGTCGGCAACCTGCGGCTCGAGCCGCATGCGGCTCTTTCGATGTCAAGATCAGTGTTTCTTCCAGACTTTTTTCTCCGGAAGGGGGGGGCACTTGAAATTTTCGGGGGGGGGGGGGGGCGGTAGACATTCTTCGGGGGGTGGGGGACACTGTTAAAAGTATATATTTTCTATATAAATTATATAAATTTCATTTCGTTCGGGGGGGGGGGGGGTGGCGGTAAGAAGAAATGCCTGGAAGAAACTCTGGTCAAGATGTGGCTCTCCAGCTCCTTGCACAAATACTAATAGTTATATTATTTTATTTTCAAAACCCATAACAAAAATGATACTGTAAAGAAGCATACGTTTTAAACAGAAGAAGAAAAAAAAACTCAGAGACCAATGCGAAAGTATACGGACAGCCGCTTGGGCACCAGGCCCAGCATTACATCCGTGATGTGGCCAGCCCCGTGGCGACTATTCCATGCTTGCCACTGCCCCAGAGCCGACTTTTTCGAACATCGTTAAAGGGGGTCATCCATAAATGACGTCACGCTTTTTTTGACGATTTTTATCTTCCCCCCTCCCCTCCGTCACACGTCGTCATAAAGAGCCAGACCCCCCCCCCCCTAAAATGACGTCACACCTCAACCTACAACCCCCCCCCCCTCAAAATTGCAGTTGAATTTTTTTAAAACAACAATATTTTTCGAAAATCTTGTCTAAACTATTACAATTTATTAAAACGATTTTTCTAATACGCGAAATAACGTCTAAAATTCGTTTTCTAACATTGCTTTTCTATAATGCAAAAGTTGTGACATCGCAACATCTGAAACCCCCCCTCCCCCTTCATCACACATCGTCACAAAGTTAAGAACCCCCCCCCCCCCCCCCTCCCCTACGAGTGTGACGTCATTTATGGATTACCCCAAATGTGGAATGTTATTTTATTCAGAATGCATTTCCCTATATGTCAGTAACCATTAATTTGACGTGAGTGACGTAGTTTTTCAGTGATTAGCTTCCTACTGTTGAACCGGGTACTGGACGGTGGGGCTGGGGTACGAGTTTACCCTGGGCTCTGTGGGGTGGAAGATAAGCCTGGTGAGATCCAAAGGACAGACGCGACCGATACACGGTAATCAAACCGATATCCAAGCCAGTTGGTCAGAGGTTGCCATGTTGAGGCCTGCCTGGCTAATGGCAGACACCCGAGACGGTGAAATCCGTAAAGAAAGAAAAAGAAAAGCCAACTGCTTCTAAAGTGGATTTTTATTTTTTTGATTACTAGTTTCATTATTCTGGCGAAAAAAGTGGATGTTTTTATATGAATAAATATTATTTCATATTTAAAGCGATTTATTTTAAATAACAAATCAAATTTATTTTCCTATTACTAATCAAATAATACAATATTGAAATTTTTAAAAAATGTTATTGGCTCTTTAAAAACTGGGAAAATTTTGAAAATTGTAACTTTTGGCTCTTCCGACTCAAAAGGTTGCCGACCCCTGATCTACTGCTTTTTCTTTCTTTAAAATTATTGTTTAGCATAATAATAAGGTGTGGGTTTGCTCAAACGTCTATTTACTGTCATTTGCAAAAAAAAAAAAAACAACAAAAAAAAAAAAAAAAAAAAAAACATAACCTGTTTCAAAAGCTATGATTCTGATAGTAAAAAAAAAAGACTAGATCTTTATAGTTATTCGTTTTCATTAGCTTTGTTATTCATCTTTTAGAGTTTTCACTTGTTTCATCTAAATTGACCCAATGTATTTAAGGGCAGTTTAACCCCCCCCCCCCCCAATCTATCTATATATATAATTCTCTTCTGGGATCCGCTAGAAAACAAGCTGCAAACGCGCCTAGAAAACAAGCTGTAAACGCGCTCCCTACCTCCCCACCCCTACATGGTTTTAGTGAGCTGTGTTCACTCTAAATGTTTACAAGCAGAGCAAACGATTTTAAACGTAAGGGGGGGGGGGGGGGGGTGGGGGGAGGGGGGGGGGGTGGAGGAACGGGGGGGGGGGGGTTATGGTCCTTAACGAGCTACTTATAGTGTTTTAAAGAAATATTTTCAGTGGCAGCGTTGGTACTGTCGAATTCACAAATTATGAATAACTGAAAAGTAGAAAAAACAACAACTAAATAGCGGCGTATGTTATGCCGCGGGCCGGCTCGTATATATATAATTCTCTTCTGGGAGACGCTAGAAAACAAGCTGTAAACGCACTCCCTACCATCCCCACCCCTACATGGTCTTAGTGAGCTGTGGTTCACGCTATGTTTACCTTCGTGGAGTCGGGTTTAGTGACGGCTATTAGGGGCAGATAATTTAGTTTGAAACGATTTCAAACGTTGGGTGGGGGGTTGGGGGGGGGGGGGGTTGGGGGGGGGGGGGGGGTGGGGAGGTGGGGGGGTGGGGAGGTGGGGGGGGTGGGGGGGTGGGGGGGGGGGTTATGGTCCTTAACGAGCTACTTATAGTGTTTTAAAGAAATATTTTCAGTGTCAGCGTTGGTACTGTCGAATTCACAAATTATTAATTACTGAAAAGTAGAAAAAACAACAACTAAATAGCGGCGTATGTTATGCTGCGGGCCGGCTCGTACATATATAAGTCAGAAATGTAGATTTTTCCAAATATATTGTTTCTGAAACTACATTCAGTTGTGAACATTTTTGTATAATTATTTTGCCTAATTACGTATTGCTAGTATTTTAATTTTTTTTTTGATTAATTAGAGTAATGACGTTATTCAGATATAGATCTAGTAAGCAACATTTGACAACATAAAAATTAAAAACCAACTAAAATAGATGTTCCTATTGCTATTGCTATTAAGAGGCTTTAGATCCAAATTCTAGATGCAATTTATGTAACTAAGAGGTTTTAAAAATGATTTTTTTTGTATAGTTTTCGCTTTTTCTCGTTTTTTTTTCCGAATTTAGTATTTTTTTTACTAGATTTCTAGATTCTATTTAACGTTTTTCACAAAATGTTACTTTTTAACAAAATCGTACCAGTTAAACTTCAGGTTGTAAGAAATCAACAAGAAATAGACAGAATGCGAAACTATTATAAACATTTTTGATCCATTATAACGTAATTTCACGTCAAAAAGATCTCGCTTTCGAGACGGTCGGTTCTTCACGCAGGTAAGGTCAACGAATATCAAAATCTTGAAATCTATTTATAAAAGCAGTTAATAAATGGTATTTAAATAAATATTCTTTCATATATGTTAAGCTAATGAAGTATATGATGGCATAGATCAATCTACTAGATCTAGTAAAGGTCTAGATCTAGATTTTACTAAATTGTTTTACTTCAACCATGGCCATGATCAACGTCGAGCTGATTCGGTTTCCCCGAGTTGACTTTTTTTACTGACCTTTTTTTATTTTTTAGCTTTCTCTTTAACTTTTTTTTTCTTTTTCTGCTGAACGTTAGATGACTAGATTTTCTAGATCTAGAACTTAGATCTAGAGTAAAGTAACAGTAAAGTTCCACGCGCGGTTAAAACACCGGTGCGGTCATCGCCTGTTTATCGCTTCGTACAATATTTGTTTTGATGTTTTATACGAAACTACCGATATCTGCTGTAAACCTGTCCATTTCTAAATATATCCAGGTCAAATTCTTTTGTTTTTCTCCTTCTGGAAGTCGAGTTTTTAAATTTTAAAGTTTCGAGGTATGACGTCGTAGGCGATTCTAGTTCCCCGTATGAAAAACACTAGGTCCCGGATGAGATGAATAAACCAACCTATCAAAGCTTTTTATAACTAGGTTAACTATAAATAGCTTCTACAATATGTGCGGGACACTATACATACGATAGATAAGGCTAATAAAGCAACCTGATAGGTGAATAGGGGTGGCCGCAGCTTGGGTGTCGATTTGGGTGGTTTCACCGCGCTGCGTAACCAACGACTTGAGCTAGACTAGCCTAGTTCTAGATGCTCTACATTTCAAGCTAAGCCTAGAATCTGTATAATTTCTATTTTTTTCTGCTATTTTAAATTATTTCGAGCATCTACTTCTTCTAAATCTAGTTTGTGTCTCTACATACAAGCATATCTAAGCAAATGTTACGTTATGTGTTGTCAGTGGTTGTTACGTCCCTTTGTTATGATTATTATAGTTGCGTCCCTTGAGTCATTACTGGGTCAACTTTTAATGTCGTTAATTAATTTAATTAACATGTTTTTAATTTGGTTTTGAAATCTATTAATTAATAATACAATCAACAACACGTTTAAAAGTGTAAAATATTAATTTTATTTATTAAACTAGGATTAAAACGTATAAAACACGATCGTTACGCAGCCGGTTCAGATGGCCGCAGGGAAAAAAAAAGAGGGGAAAAAAATATTGCAAGTAGCACGTCATTAAAACATGAATATCTCAAATTCAATACGTAGGAATATAAAATGATTGATACATATTAAGAGTAGAAAGGCAGAGGAATAATATAGTACTCTGGGTTTGTTTCTGTGTGAAACGGTTATAAAATAGCGCCCGATGAAAATCGGGAATTTGGAATTTTCCGCTATGTGTGACCGCGCGTGGAACTTTACTCTAGTCTAGTAGACTAACACTTTGGCCTACTTCACTTAGATCTAAAGACTAGATCTCCTGACCTAGATCTAGTAGATTTTCTCACTAAATCTAAAAAACTTACGCAATTTTCCATTTAAACATGACCACTGAATAACAAACATTAATATTTAATCCATTAGGCACTAATTTTTCTGTTTTTGATTCGTTTTAAACTAAATTAGGCCTACTTAATTTAATATTTAATTTTATTGTCACTCACTGCCATGCACTATGCACTACAGACCTCTCCATGACAACACAACTTACGTCTGAAGCTACGGCAAACCACAAATCGGTTCGACTTTTTAATTGGCTATGCACCAGAGTTCCTCACTAGTGATGAGCCAAATAGCGGTCACGTGGTTTTCTAAAAATAAAAATAAATTGGTTGTTATACGGACGCCGGTCTTATAAAAAAACAGCTCACAATATTTGATTCCTTTTTTTTCATAGACTGATAAAACTAATAATGCTTTACGTTCTCACTCATTTCTGTACCTACACCGTTGATATTTTAAAAGTTCTTAATACTATGAACCCTCAACCCCATAGTTTTGTCAGAAGAATAAGGCTAAAAAAGAAAATTGATCCCATGCACAGATATAAAAGAATAATTCAAGGTCTTTGTGTTTTTCATCTTCTGCCTGGCAGATCAGCACTGTGGAGGAAGAAGCTTCTTCCGAATAGTCATATAAAACTTCACAGAAGTATAATACTATACCTTAGAGATTAATTTATATAGGCCTAGCTAAAATATAACTTCAAAATACCTAATTATATTAAAAGTATGCTGTAAGTTATTTTGCCACTACCCTAATCTCATTGCCAAGTTATCAGTCCCCCTCCCCCTTTTCTGACCAATTTTTAATGGCGTAATTTCATGGTTAACTGATACTTAAAAATAGACTATTCACACTAAATCTTTTTCTAATCTCATTGCCAAGTTATCAGTCCCCCTCCCCCTTTTCTGACCAATTTTTAATGGCGTAATTTCATGGTTAACTGATACTTAAAAACAGACTATTCATACTAAATTTTTTTTCTAGAAAATGTTGCGGCTAACACTACAAAAGCTTGTACCAGTTACCAAGGCAGTTTGCCAAAGGAACTATGCAGCAGCAGCTGGTGCAGCCCAAAATCTTGATCCCATCCAACAGCTTTTCTTAGATAAAATTAGAGAGTACCGTTCCAGGTAAATTTTTCTCTTAAATTTTAAAAATCTCCTTTATTAATTATAATTTCAATAAATACTTTTCACAGTTAAATGCTGTTAACTTTTTATATATGCTTATATAATCGTGTTTATATATTTTCCTAATTTAGATCTAAAGGTGGTCAGTTAGTTGATGTCACAGCAGAATCTGAAGCCGCCTTAAAGGAAATGCTAGGTAATCTGGAGAGGGCATTTGGAGCTAAAGGTGTTGATATGACCCAGTTTCCCAAATTGCAGTTTTCAGGTAGGTCATTTTATTTTTTTTTAATAATTTGTTTGTGCTTTTCAATCAGTTCAATGTCTAATTTATTTACATTGTTTCCCTAATATTTTGCTTGTTTGTAAACTTGGAGTAGGAGCACACTGCCTGTAACTTTTCATTTTAGCATAAATTCGTCATAATATTTACATGTTAATTGATGAGATTGTGTTATTGAATTTTAAAAAAAAAAACTTATGGTTTAGTGAAAAAGTAAGATTAGCTAAATTATTTCTCTTGTTGATTATTTGTTTTCAGGAGTTGCATAAACTGTTTAAATATTTGTCTGCATTTGTTCATCTTGGTCAGTGTTTATCAAAAATACAAGACTTAAGGTATTTTTTATTATTTTGAGCTTCTTATCATATATGGACAAATTCTTTCAGAACCCACTATTGCTTGGCCTGGGCTGAGTGATGAGCAGAAGGCCAAAATTGATCAGGCAGTTAAAGCTGAAGAAGCAGAACAGAAGAAGAAAGTAGCTGCCGAGGAAGAAGAGGAAGGTGATGGTGATGAAGAACTTCTTAAACTTTAAGAAGCTTAATTTTAGAATATTTTCAGTTTTTTTTTTTTTTTTTTAGGATTACGAGCTGTACAACATTAAATAATTTGTGGATATGAAAATAATTTAAAATGAATGCGACCAACTGCTTTTGTTATTATTTGTGTTGTGATTTTTAAAATAAATTTTTATGGTTAACGTCCTGAGACGTAATACCTAATTGTGTTGGAGGAAATCATGTCTGACATTACAATAAAAAAAATAATAAAGAATTACTTTGCAACTTAAAATTGTAGCTAGGAAAACTCATTACAACTAAGAAAACCACAGTTTGTAATGAAGTGACTAAAATAACCAAGCGTTATTCTGTGGTTAAAGAGACATTAAATTCAAACATAAAATATACCCCTGGCCTTTATTATTTTCTCAGACTCATTTCAACTTTTAATAGTCCAGAGCTGAATGACTTGCATTTTAGTCATTTTATACTGTGCCTCAGTATGGGCTTGAAGTAATATTTGGAGAATAAATTACAAGACAAAGGGAACAAGGAAAATTGCCCCAAGAGAATGGTTATTTATTTATAGATGGGGTCAGACAACAGTGGGCAGTCTGCATGTGTGTTCATTTACTAGCTAATTCCCAGAAGCTTAATCAAAGGGGGTAGCCACTCACACTGACATTTAAAAAAAATTTGTATAGCTAAAAGTAAAAAGCTTTAAATGGTAATCATAGTAATAATCAACTAGGCACCTATCTTCAGATCAACATCAGAGCACATCTTTACCTATTTGTTTATGAATAGATCTTGTTTATATTATTGGCTAGAGCTACTAGCCATTTATTAGGCCTGTGTATTAAGACATCTTGTTTACCAAAACCATTGTAAGATGCTTCATTTTGTGAATTAAGTTGGGGTTTTAAAACTTAAGAAAAATTTGGTTCTAATCAATATACACTGCACTGACACAAATTTCCCAATTCCACATTAAAATTATTATAATTAAAGCACACATGAAATACAAGCAAATTTTAAAAACATATATAAAAATTTATTTACAAAAATACAAGTGTTATGTGACATGGCATAATTTAACATCAAACCAGCAGTTCTACCAAAGAGTTCAATCAGTGATGTAACCAAAGCCAATCCAAAGTTATCCTTTCAGCAGTCAGGTCCTTACAGGCATGCTAAGTGTTAACACTGAGTTCTTTTTGCTAAATTTGGCATTGGCATCATCCTCTTCTATGGTGCTAGGCAGTTTGACTTTCAGTTCATACATCCCTGAGACAAGCAGCTTCACATCATCCTGTCAAATAAGTTCATTTGTTACTGAAGATTTAAAAAATATTCTCTTTGTGCTATTTTGATATTTTATTAAAAATTTAAGTTAAATCAGGGAGATCAATAGGCAGTTGTGCTTGATTAGTTGTTTTTCTTTGCATATTAATTCTACAAATTGTGAGCATATTCAATTAATTTAATGAACAAAGAAGTATTTTTCACATAGCAATAACATTTCAGCTTTAACTTTAAGAGTTTGAAACAAACATGCACAATTACACCTATTTTTGAAATTAGTATAATTGGATAATGTAATGCCCCATTGCAACTGTTTTATGTAAGGAGCTTAACCTGGGGTAATTGAAAGGGGGAGGGGTAATGTTCTACTTCCATGCTGTAGATGGGGGTGGGTGCAGCTGACCATGTTTCTGCTGGAAGCCAGGTCTTCTAGTAGCCACTAATGCCAAGACCTATGAATAATAGTTACACAGATGTCAAGAACTAACCTCAGATATGTCAAGTTCACACTCCGCTACAGACTTTACTCCAGGCAAGTCCACTTTCAGCACCAAGTTTCTTCCAGCAGAGGAGTCGACTGGTTCCAGTGAATATTTAGGTGTTGGCAGTTTAATTTCTTTTATTTCCTCTATGAGGCCATTTTTCTTTTTTAACTGGTTACTCCCTGGTACAATGAGCTCTGGTTGCTCTTCTTTACTTGAAACACCAAAAGGTGTACTTGAGTTTTTATTGTTACTTATGTTGGATAACTTATGAAGCAGATTTTCTCGTTCATTGCTCGTCAAAGGACCAAACATGTCCTCTAGTTCTGAAATATCACTGACTGCTTGATCTTTGTTCTTGGTAAGTTTTGTGAAACTTAATCGAATAAGGTTTAAATCTCCTTTGTACAATGTGTCGACAGGCAGTACTGTGTATGTGCGTGACACACTGACTTTTTGTTCTTTTTCAATGTAGTCGAGAGCAAGCTGTATCAGTGTATCACCATCTACAGGGTTTTTAGCGCAGCGGCCAAATTCTTGTAAAACTTTTGGGTTGAACGCAACTGAAGTCAGTGCATACGAACCTTTGGAAAGAATATAATTAAATTAAGTAGTTTTTGTGAAAACAATTATAAATTATGTATTATGTAGTAACTGCAGATTCTAATTTTAATACAATTTTACTCCTCTTTTTACAACAAAACTGCTACTTGCAGTTGGACCAAGAGACCAAGACTGTTTTTAAAAAAATCTAATTTCATAACTATGAGCAGACATACATAGACAGATTTAATTTATATTTTCTTTTCTGGTACTAACCATTCAATTCAATGATTTCATAAAACAAAACATAACAAACACCAATAGATTACACTATAACTTCAAAGTTTAAACCTGATAAAAGACCATGCATGCCTCTCTTACCTTCATAAGTTATGAGAGTGCCTGATACAGGGACTGGGTCTTCTGGTGATTTAGGTTCAGGTACTCGATTCCATGCGCAGAAATTTATGAACAAAGGCTGTGATGGCTTAGTCTATGGAAAAAAAAAATTGATTCTACTTTAAAGTTGTACATATTTTGTTTGCCTGCATGATATTACAGTTTTCCCTCATTATACCCAGGTGTCCTATTCAAGGCCCATCCAATTTCTGGGCAGGAAGGTGTAATTACTGGAATGAAATTCATGCCATGGCTGAAAAATATCCACCTCCTAGGTATTGAAAAAGTGGATGTGGAATCTCCATAGTCTATACCCCAATCATAAATGTGAGCTACTTATCAGTAGTAACTCTCATTTGTGGTGGCACCTGGCCTTAAGTAAAACAGCAAGGCCAGCAAAATTGTAGAGGAGGAGTGGATTTAATCTTTACAGAAATTTATGTTTTGCTGTTAACAAAATTAAGACACATTCCCTATATATAAAGCCTAGATAAAATTACTTACAAGAAGCATTACTTGAACACACATGTGAGGGTCAGGGGTGCCATGTACGTTTTGCTGTTAACAAAATTAAGACACATTCCCTATATACAAAGTCTAGATAACATTACTTACAAGAAGCATTACTTGAACACACATGTGAGGGTCAGGGGGTGCCATGTATGTTTTGCTGTTAACAAAATTAAGACACATTCCCTATATACAAAGCCTGGATAAAATTACTTACAAGAATCATTACTTGAACACACATGTGAGGGTCAGGGGGTGCCATGTATTCCTTGCCCCCTTTCAACTGCCGTTCAATGAACTTTTTGTAAGCAGATGGGTCATTATCAGCCATGTCATCTAACATTGCCCAAATGTGCTGTGCTTGTTTTGACATTGAATCTGAGTTGTTGTTTGCCATTTTAATGATTCAGTTTAATTCTGAAGTAAAAATATTAATATTTTATTATACAGCATATAAACTGTAAAAGAGTTGGACCTTGATCTGAGGTTTAATACTTTCCATATTATAAAAGCTAGGTCAAATAATGCATTTTGGGCATAATCCTGTTAAACGGGCAAAAGTGGGATACAATATATTACTATTAGGCTTATTAGTTCTTAGATATTTAAAAAGTCAGCATCATAAACCAGAAATTTAGAGAAGTTTCCCTATTGATAAACTTCTATGCCTTGGACTGACATGAACATAATTTTTTTGGGAATGATTTCTTTAACTAGTGTTTAATAAATTATGAATATTTATTTAAAAGTCAGGTTGATGGAGTAATTTTGTCATATTATCCAATACTGGTGTTATTTCTGCCTGCTGATTCATGGGTAAAATAAGAGTACATTTGAACAGACATTCAGAGGGACATTGAAGGAAAAAAGTACCTGCCCTAACATATTTTAAATAGCTCAGTAGGTGAAAAGGCTTACAGATGGTGAAAGCCTTATTTAATTTTCATTTTTGAAGCACACTTGCCATCAAGAGATACTACACAAATAGTAGAGAAACTTCAGTAAATTTTAGTAAAATATTTTTTCTTACTGTATGTCTAGATATATTAGTCTCTAGATCTAGTAGTTTAAGTATACAGATATTCTATTTGTAGTTGTTTCTGTATTACTATTACAGTATAATACTTATACTATACTGTATATCAATTCAAGTAGCCTATTTATCCAAGGCAAGTAACTAGACCCGAGTTTGATTCAGGACTTTAAAAATCTAGTCATTAGAATCTAATTGCACTAATTCTGCTAGCCCAAAAGTCTCAAGTACAGATCTCAGTTCGGACTCGTAGCTGCAGGATGTCACAGAGTCCACCAAGCTCTGATGGGTATCTGCCTTTGTTAGGCCAATAAGGGAAACAAAGGTGGCTAAGGATCAGAATAATAAGTGCTGACCAATCAATCCCAAACTGACAACTAAGTAATGAAGTATGGTAGATTGATAATTACTACTTCTTAGCCCTTAGTTAGCCTTAGTACTAGACTTAGTACTACTAAACTTATATATATATATATATATATATTATATATATATAAGGGCCTATATAGGCCCTATATTATATACGAGCCGGCCCGCGGCATAACATACGCCGCTATTTAGTTGTTGTTTTTTCTACTTTTCAGTAATTCATAATTTGTGAATTCGACAGTACCAATGCTGCCACTGAAAATATGTGCTTTAAAACACTAACCCCCCCCCCCCCCGTGAAAGCAGCCTCCTCTTAGTTACCTCCTCTAATTTTAAAATCGTTTCAAACTAAATTATCTTCCCCTAATAGCCGTCACCAAACTCGGCTCTATGATTGTAAAATGTAAACATTTAGAGTGAACTACAACTCACCAGACCTTGTAGGGGTGGGGGTGGGGGGGGGGTGTAGCGATAGAGAGGAAGAGAGGGGACTGCAAAGGCGCGCTTGCAGCTTGTTTTCTAAAGGCTCCCAGAAGAGAATTATATATATAGATAATGAATATATATCTAAACTATGATACCATCTGGCCGATGTGACTTGGGCACAATCTGCAAATATTCTTATAAGATATAGAATCTAGATCTAGAGAGATCTAACTAAAGTAACTACATTATAATGATTATTACAACTAGATTCTCTAATCTATTCTTAGTCTACATGACATGAGACTATGATGACTGAAATCGACCTGGCACTGCTGAGTGCTAGATTCTAGAATAGATGTAGTCACTGATCTAGACCTATACTATTCTACTAATCACTAATCTATCGTTACACTATCATAGTAATTTAGTTAATATCTGCCGATATTTTAGGGCATACTCTCATACTACTGCTACTGTAACTTCCTAGCTTTCGGTACTTTCGCCCCAAACCATGTTTGAATATGTATTCAAAATTCACTAAAATATATTTAATAGTAGAATATCATATATACTTTGACGAAGTCTCTTGGACTGTCACTTTTTACATATATATAGGCCTAATGAAGTTTAATATCAAATTCTTATCAGATCAAGAATCTAAGCAACTTCAAACTTCAATAAACTTTTATTTAGGCAAGGCGTCCTTAGTATGCGCTCTACGTCACAAATATGTTACAAGCAATATAACTAAACTTCAGTAATAAGAGAGTGCTTGGTAAAGTTTGTTGACTGTTGGAATGTTGACACCATTTTAAATAAATAGTCCGGAATTAATACATACAATTAAATCTGTTTGGCTTGAAATCACAATATCTAAAATTAAGTAATGTTTAATAAACGTAGTTGAATGTATTGAATAAAAAATAAACATTCAAATGCTTAAATTAAATTGTTACCATAGCGACTTACCAAAAATAAATTTTCACGTCACTTACAAAAAATGGCGTCGGCAGGGTAAGAAGAAATAAATGAATAAATCAAGCAGTGCCAAAGTCACATTGATCAGCCAGCTAGATTAGCGATTTAAACTTAATTACACACATTCTTACTAACAGTGGATTTTATAATTTGGAGAAGCTATAAATCTAAGTGCAAAATTAATGTAGGATCAAGATTTTCAATGAAAGATTTGGTAGGTTGAGGCTTGATCATACAAGGAACACACAACTTCAACTTGAAGTTGTGTGTGAGTTTTTTATTTCAGCTTAGTTTAACTAAGATTAGTAAAATTAATAGTTAGGATATAGATCTGGATTCTAGTTCTAGATGAGATCTGATAAGTAAGTTAAATTGCTTTTGTCTCTAGTGTAACTATAGTGACAGTTCAGTACAGTCATAACATAACTATTAACTAAAATTACTAAGCTAACTCCCTTCAACTTCAATAGTAATAAATACCAGAACCAATTGCCAATAGCCTAAGGCTTCTAAGGCCTATATTATAATATTGAATAATTTCTTAATTCTTATTTCCTTATCAAGACTGTAGATCTATACTGTATAAATGTTATTTAAGTTACTCACAAACCCATATGTATAATAGTAGCCTAACTAAAGTAAAGACTACAAACTATCCGATTTATAATATAACATTGTACTGTATTAACTGTATAGGCCTACTATATATTGCAGTGAGTTATTGAAAAGATATTTAATGTAAATCTAATTATTAGTATCATTGATAAAAATATGAAAACATTGAATTTGAATGCCCTGATAATTATACCCTACTTTTAACCTTAGGTCTAACATTAATCAACTTACTTTGAAATTCTTTATAATGGACACTACTTGAATATGTGGGGTTGTGGCTCATAATTTTAAAAAAAAGTTTTTATTTCCCTTAGGATAAGACTAAATTTAAGGTCTGTTAATAACTGAGGCATATATTATGTAATATTTATCCCATTTGGGATTAGAGCGATATAAAATGTACTCTGTAATTGACTTGTCTTCCACAGAAACATGTGTAATCCAAAGAGCACCACATAAACTTTTGTAGCACTATGCCAGTATCTTCTGCTGCTTATGACAGGTTACAATTTTTTAATGTGTCTAACTGTATTTGCCCCTTTTTTAAAATTAATTAATTTTTATAAACATGCATGGATTGTATAAAAATTTTCCCCATTTTTTATTTATCATTGTACTTATTGTGCATTTGCCACAACAAAAGCAGTTGTGCTTGTTTCTTTTGTATTTTTTAAATTCAGAAATTTTAATTATTTGTTATAATTTATGTATTTAGTGAAATTTTTAAATATGTGCTAGTAAATCAAATTTCTTCTTGTTCCTACAATTGTTAAACCTTTATTTGTTATGAAACCTTTCAATAAAATTACTCTTCAATTATGTTTGTATAGTTATAGGCATGGGTTCAACACAACTTACTCAACTTCATATGGATCCAGCTCTACATCTGTCCCCAGAGTCTCCTCTACTGGCAGGAAGACTAGCCTTACTAATGGCTACACGTCTACCACAACAAGCTACAGGTTTTCTATGTCAACTTAAATAGCTTTTTAAATTAATTTAAAAATTAATATTTCTTATATCTATCACAAATAATATAGATGAGTTGATTTTTCAAAATTATAAAATTTAATACCATTTTTTTGTGTGTGTGAAGTTAAAGAATGAATTTAAAATTTTTTTTGTTTAGGACACGCCCATTGCCGTCTGGCCCAGGACCACTAGATTCTAGTGGTCGGAAACTGTCAAGCTTTAATGTTCCGTCTTATGAATCTCGTCGAAACAGAACCCCTACTGGGGTTACTATGCGGAATGGTCCATTAAAAGCTGATCACACAACACTTGGCACTTCAAACAGGTTCCTTACAGACACAGCCCCCTCTTCTAGAACCACTTACAGGGATCACAGCATCACTAGAGATTACACAAGCAGCCGCGACAGCAGCATTATCCGTCCCTTGCCTGCTAAACGCCCAGATGGTATTCTAGGAGATCTGACTCTGTCAAGGCCACCCAGTGGTTCCAACCGCCCTCGTAAAACATCTAGCTTGATCAACTTGTCCAGCCTAAATCTAGACTCAGATGTAAATACTTCATCAAATAGGAATCGAGGCACCAGTGTGTTTAATGATCGGGTCACCTCAAATTCTTCGTCTAGGAATAGTAGTTATAGAGATGATGTTTTAACCCAAACTTCTCATCTTGATCGGAGTAGAGGAGAAGCATCTTCAAGGTCACGTTACACCCCTAGCAGAGAGTCTAGCCCCAGTTCAGGGTCTAGGTATGTCAAGGTCACAGTGGACCATAATGAGTATCCATCTAAGTCTACACTGAGCAACCAGAGTTCCAGCAGCTCAATGTCTAATGGAGTAAGTAGAAAACTTTATACTTTTACTGGCTATCCGCGCGACTGTCTTCTATACTGGCTACTTGGACAACTTTCTTCTTTTCTGGCTACCTTCACAATTTTCTACATAGGCTACATGCACAACTGTTTCCTTTTCTGGTTCTTTATTTTTTTCTAGTTACCTACACACTTTTTTAATTCTCTGGCTATCTGCATAACTTTACCCTTGTCTAGCTATCATCTGAGGGCCTGAGGTAAAGTCACATCATAATCACATTCTCTTGCTGTATACTTGAGTCCCAGTGTGCCTAAAATGCTTATACTTATTCGGTGTTTCCCAACACCAAAAAAAATAAATAAACTAACAATAACTGAATTGTTTATCAATAATACAATTTAGTAGTTAGCAAGTGCATGTGTTGAAGATTCATTCACTGCAGTCATTAAATGTCTTTAAATAACTAGTAGCAAAATTTTAACACCCAAAGAGTTTAAAAAAATTAAAAAAATCAACAATACCTGAAATGTCAAATTTTTAGATAAAACAAAAAAAATAATATAAGGTTTAAGACAAGAACCAGGCCTCCCTAAAAAAACTAAATCTCTTTATTGTGTATTACATATTTACGTAGTCTAGCTACAGTAGCTCAAGCAATCCTAGTTCTTCTGTGAATCATCAGGCTTCTGTAAGTCCCACAAGAGCGTTACTTTGTTCTAATTTTTGTAACATTTATCTTTTTCCTTTTATACCTACATTTTTACTTTACAAGCCAGTTGCCTATTTTACTGGATATTTTTAAAAAAATGTGTTTAACAATTTTTGTTTGAAGAAACTTCTAACATGTCCTAATTCTTAAAAATGTTTTAGTCGTTATTTTAGTTATGACCAATATTGTATAAACATCAATTTAAAAAAATGCAATAACTTTCACATGCAATAACTAAAAATTTAAGCTTACAAGACTGTGGTTATGGTTTAATATGACAATTCATATATATGAATATCAATAATAAATATAATGTCAGTTACTTCTTATATGCATTTTTGAACATTTATTTCAACTAAAAACAGGAAAATAAGTTTTCATTTAGCTATGCATGAGTTGTAGTTGTATTATATTTTAATAAATATTTGCTTAGAATTCTTAAATTCATCATTTTGTCTATCTTATAATCTGTATTTGATTTAAAACTAAATGTTATTATGTCTTCTCTAGAGTGTCAAGCACAGAGAAGGTGGCAAAGTTGGACTTAAAAATCTGGGAAACACGGTTTGTCTTTTATGTCATTTCCTTTGTTTTGCTCAACTTGCCTCTTCATTACAGTTAGTTCACAGATAGTTTAGCCCATGTGTAATATTTACATGTTTGCTTATTTTTTGGAACCCAGTGTGATTTGTTAGATGGCAAAAATCTGAGAATGGGAGAACAGATTGGAGAATAACATGTGAATGATGGAATTATCTGGGAATAGATAGAAAAATGTACTACATTGCTGGGTTGTAAAGTTCACAGTTTCTTGAATATTATTTTTTCAGTGTTTTATGAATAGTGTCCTGCAGTGTCTAAGCAACACAAGAATGCTTTTAGAATGGTGCCTGGATGATAAGTACAAGAAGGAAATCAACACCACAACAAGCAATATGAAGGGCAGTCTGGTCACAGGTTGGCATTTGTTATTTGATGATATGTGCTTGACAAAGGATAGTAGTTTCACAGGCACCAAGTTTAGTTTTTTGATAATTTTTTTTCATGTTTTGTTTGATTGGTTAGAGAAGTAAAAAGTAAAGTTCCCTTTTCGAACCTGATAACCAACGGGGCAAGTGAAGTAGAGTTCATCTGTTTCTGTGACCTCTGCTTATGCTCAAGCGCCTTTACTTTCCCTAACATTAGAGCTGGGTGGACTCAGGGACGCTCTACTAACTTGAACCCAGATTCAAACTCATAAATCTCGGGTTAGCAGTTACTAGACTACCACTAGAACATGCCATCCCTAGTTAGAGTAGTAGATTAAGTTTTATTTATCTACATCATATACTTGTTTCATTTATGCTTTCCATGTAGATATATTTAATAGTGTCAGTACACATGATGATGTATATCCACAGCTTATGCTAACTTAATGCAGTCAATGTGGAAAGAAAAGGGAGACACTGGTGGAGTCTCACCTAATGCTTTTAAGACTCAGATACAGAAATTTGCACCTAGATTTATGGGATACGCGTAAGCATTTTAGACTTTGGTTTTACCTTAATTTTTAAGTAAATATGGTTACGGAAAAACTTAAAATTATATTTCTTTAAGACATTTATTTTTCATTTCTTTAATAATCATTGTGAGAGGATTAGTATTTTAAACTTGTTCACACATATTAAATATGTTACTGATTGACGTATTTACTCTATGTTATAGTCAGCAGGATAGTCAAGAGTTTTTGAGATACTTGTTGGAGGGATTACATGAAGATGTGAACAGGGTAACCAAGAAGCCAGCACCAATTATTCTTGATGATGGGCAGCTGGAGAAGAAAGTGTAAGCAATGTGATCTATTTTATAATCTTCATTTTCTTTCTTTTATTTCTTTTAATCATTTAAAAAAAAATGTATTTAATTTTTGCTTTAAGTAAGTAATCAGTTCTTTGTGTAATTTATAGGTTCATTTAACATTTAAATACATTTTCGTACTTATTATAGTGCTGTTAAGTATCAAAACTATTTTGTTTCTAATACCTCTTGCTAGACCCTTTTCTGTACCCTAGCCTTTCTAACCTTGACTCAGAAAGTCTTTATGACTTTTTTTCTCAAGATGTCCATATTTTATATAAAATCAGTGACTAGTGTATAGTTTTTAATTCTTGTTAGAAGAATATTATAAAGTCGTATCATAATAAAAATGTTAATTTTTCTTTTGTACTCTTGGTTTTTATTGTAGATTTAAAATTTTACTCTCTGTAGGTTTGTTTACTGCTACTATTTTTAAAAAATGTTTTTTACTGTGTATTCTACAGAGATAGTGGTAAGGCAAAAGATTACTGGAACGCATATCTTAATAGGGATGACAGTATGATTGTGGGTATGTACAGTAAATAACAGTTTTTCTATTACATTAAGAGTGCTTATAAATAAAAAAGTATATGCTACTGAAAATTATGTTAGTAATTTATTTATTTTTTATTAAAGGCCAAGATATCAATATAGATTATAGCCTACTGTTTAAATTGTTTCAGATATTTTTGTTGGGCAACTTAAAAGTGAGCTGAAATTTTCTTCATGTGGCCATAGGTCTGTGACATTTGACCCATTTTGGGACTTGTCTGTCTCAATTCCTAAGGTAATCAGAATTGTTTAACCTATCATCTTATTTCTTATGATACAGTTCAACAAAAATCAAATTTTAACTTATAGAGCATCAAATGCAATCAGAGATCATGAAGAAATTAGAATCAAATCATTTAATCATAGCACACCACATCCAAATTAGCCCAGACTTATCAATCACTGTTTCATTTGCAACCACAACAAAAGTCAAATGTTGAATTCAGTATGGTACTTATCAGCCAAGTCTATTTTGCAGCAGTGTTAAATACATATCTATTTAAAATCTTTTTCTATCAAACTTACATCATAAATTAAAACAATGAATTAAAAAAAAAACAAGTTACTAATTTTAAATTAAAAAAAAGTAGAGGTATATTTGTATGAAATCAACATTTTTTTTTTAAAACATATATTTTTTATACATTAATTCTGTAAATTACTATTTTAAAAAGTAACTTATCAATTATTGAAAAAAAGTCTTTATTTTCTGTATCTTCTTATATATTGATTTCTATTGCAGTCTTCTTATAGATAAAAATAAAAATAAAGCTTGTTGTTTTTTTACAGAATCGTCATGAACTCAACTTGGAGGACTGTATCAAATTGTTCATGAAGGAAGAAGAATTAGCTGCTGAAGAAAGACCAGTAAGTTCATTTAAATTCTGTGAAGTCACTCAATACTTTAACCAGTTAAACAATTTCTCTTTTAATAAGTTACATTTTTAAAAGGTTTAGTAATTTAGTTAAAATGTTTCAAAAGGATATGTTCTAATATTCAGTAATAAATGTGTTAACTCTGGAATTGTGTTAGAATCTACTTCTTCATTAGACAAAAAATATCTGTCTTCTTTATCATGCCACTTTAAATTTTATTTAAAACTTGTGGAGAAGGATGATTTCTGCTCAATTTATATTTAGCATTTAGTAGTGTAGACACTTTGTATTCAGGCTTATGCTAATAGATTTAGCTTTGGTGAATAGGGCGGGGCACCATTTTCAGAGGTTATGCAAGGACAGGGGCACTGTTTTCACAGGTTATGCCCCTGAAGTAAGAGCAGTCAATTTTGCCGTCTTTGATGGTGTTAGCTAACTCTAATATAATAGGTTTTTGATTGTTAAGCTATATTGTTGAACTCTATAGTCAATAAGGTGTTTATATCTAGAACTCTTAAACTTCCTAGTTGATGTTATCCAGCACCATTTTTTAAAATAAAGTAATGTAGACTGTTCATGTAAAATGTACATCTTTATTTCTATTTTTTTCAGATGTGTACAAAATGTAAAAGGCGTCAGTCTTGCACTAAAAGTTTTTCCATTCAACGATTTCCCAAGATACTTGTACTTCGTATCCTTTATAGTTTAAGTTTTTTAACAGTGCTTTTAAGGGTTCTAGTGTTTGACATTAAAGTGTCAGTTGATGTAGGCCTACATTTACAATACCACAGAGCCAGTAATACTTAATTTAAGTCGATTAATAAGTAGTCTTTTGTTGGATTTTCATAATGTGAATATTATGTGCAGCTTAAAGTCTCATATTATTACTGATTTCCCAGAGATATAGACCAGAATCATTTGATTAGTTGAAATATAAGGCAAAAAAAAATTAGTAATTATTATGATTATTTTATGTACTGTTCAGTGTTAGTTAAATTATTATAACAAGAAATGACAATAATGGAAAAACAAAATAAAAAATAACGACACAGATACATATTTATTAAACATATTACTAGAGCTTATCTTTCATAGTGTGTTTTTAGAGGTTATTTCAATAAAATGGGTTTGTTCTTAGTGACAATTTAGCATTTCTGTGGAATTCATTCTACAGGATGGGACCATTATAATTTATTCTATTAAAATTAGTTTAGTTTATTTTTGGATACATTCATATTATTGTATTGTAGTAAAATACTAATGAGATCTCTAAATAGTCAAATTGGAAAAAAAATCTTTTTTAGTGATTGGAACATTTTTAATTACCAATATAAAGTGAAACCACTCTAGATAGATACATATTTATTAAACATATTATTAGAGCTTATCTTTCATAGTGTGTTTTTAGAGGTTATTTCAATAAAATGGGTTTTGTTCTAAATGACAATTTAGTATTTCTGTGGCATTCATTCTACAGGATAGGTCCATTATAATTTATTCTATCAAAATCAATTTAATTTTCTTTTTTTTTATGCATTCATATTATTGTATTGTATGATTATAAAATAGTAAAATACTAATGAAATCTTGAAATGGCCAAATTAGAAAAAAAGCTTTTTCTTAGTGATGTGAACATAAGTACCAATATAAAGGGAAACCACCCTAGAAAAATAGTTTTGGAGAGTACTTTACCTTAGTCTCAGCAAAGAACAAATGTTTCACTCCTTTACTGTCCAAAGATTTGAAGCGCTTTAGCCAGGAAAGATTTGGTAGAAAATTGACCACACAGGTTGATTTTCCAACAGAAGGCCTTGACCTTACAGAGTTTGCTGCTGAAGGTGTGTCAGGTGGAAGAATCCTGTATGACCTTTATGCAGTGTCAAATCATTCAGGTGGTACCAGCTCAGGACATTACACTGCCTATTGTAAAAATCCTTACTCAAATGAATGGCACTATTTCAATGATTCTAGGTGAGAAATGCTTTTTTGTCTTTAATTAGGGGTCGGCCTGGTTGAATCGGTAACGCTCATGATTGTTATACCGAAAAGTCTTGAGTTCTAACTCAGGCAGATGAAGCTCGTGTACTGGGGACAGCCACTCTTCTAAGAGAGACAACTCCAAAATCAAACAACTGCTGCCTTGCAGTTTGTTCTTGGTTGGACAAAAGCTATGGAAGCTAATAAAAAAATAAAAGCAGGCTGAAATCGGAGTAAATGGCCTCAATGGCGCATAACTGGTGGACACATGTACTAAATTGTGTTGGAGGAGACCCTTCCAACACTAAAATTAAGAACAAAGAAGAAGAAGAGTAATATATTATTGATCTTAACCCCATGCTAATAAAATATGCTTTTGTACTTGTAAAAAAAAATATAGACTTCATTCCTTTTGTGTAATATGTGCATTCTTGCGTTACACATTTTTAGATGTGCAAAGCAATGTTATTTTCAGCGATTACATTTTTAGCAATTTTTTATGTCAAGTATATTAATAATAAATTAATGTAAGATCTAATGATGTAGGATGTAAATTAATTTTTTAAAAATATTAGTTTTGAAATTGTGCGGTTTGTATCAATATTTTTTGTCTCGGTTAATGGTTGTCTGCCGTCATAGAATCATACACATCTTTTACTGATAATAAAATAACCTGTGTATTTCTTGTCTCCAGGGTTACAAGCGCTCGATCCAATGAAGCTGTTTCTTCTGAAGCGTATGTCTTATTTTATAAGCTAATGAAGTAACCACTCAGTAGCAGAAGTAATGGTGGAGATGAATATTCAAAGAGCTTGTTACAGCTGGCTACATACACTTTTATAATGGTGGATTCCAGACTAACTTTTTTTTAAGTGGTGGATTCCAGACTAGTAGGAAGCATTGAGGATATTTGCATGTATGGAACCACAAGATTAGTTTAACACTTCTGAATGAACAAACCAAAGAAATGACAATGATACCGTCTTTAGTTCTGTTTCAACATATCATTTGTTTATTAGGAGCTGAGGGATTTTGTACAAATTAATAGAATTTATCAGAGAAGTTTTTAAATAAGTATTCAAGACTTGAGATTTTATTATTAAAACCTGCTTATTCCTATTTTGATAATAAATTTGCATGAGCCCCTTCTTGCGCATGTTGGTAATACATTTAAAACTTATATACCATTGTTGGATTAATTAAACAATTAGTTATTGCAGTTGCTATTTTTTCAGCCTTTTTATTCCTTTAAAAGTTCTTTAAAAAGTTAAATATTTTGGTTTATTGTTTTCCTTTGGGTTTACTAAATTTAATTTAATTTAATATTTTATCATCTATCAATGGTATTTTTTGCAAAAATTTAAATCATTGCCTAAAATCTAATAACCCATTAAAATGATTACCCCGAAGACTGGGTGATAGCTATTTAAATACCTTTTTTTATTTTAAAGTTGATTTCAACTCTAGTATAATTTTCACTTCCTATCTATTTATTGAAGTGCCTTTAATGGTCATTCTAATTGTTTGAGTCCTACGTCTTTGACAGCTGTTCTACACCATTAAGTCAGCATTGTTGTATAAATCTTAGTTAGCAAAAGTATTCTGACATTTTTTCTTATATATTGTATGAGCTGTTTCAATTGACATGCTATTTTAATGCATATACATAAAACCATGAAATGATTTAATATGTGTATTTGTACACAGCATAGAATTTTTGTAGACAACTTCACAACCAGTCCAAAACAGACACAACTTTATTTATTATGGTACAAACCATTCTAGTACAGTTTTCTTTAATTTAACTCACTAATGTATACATGACTTCAATCTGTTTTAAAATCAAGAGTTTAAATATCAATGATAAGTGACTAATATTTTTAAGCCCTAAAGGTATTTTATACATATTAACAGCTTTGCTGGTCAAAACAGTTATAAATATTTGTAATGACTTAGAAGGTTCCTTTTTTTTACGTAAAAATAATAAGTGTTTACAGATTTGATCTGCCTTTTTTAATGAAACAATCATAGATCTTTTTTTTTATAATAGATTATCATTTTCTTATGACAACTGAAATCAAATTTAGGGAGTTCTGGCACCTTAGAAATTTTTTTAAAATGGAGTTTCCTGTATATTCAAGATATTAACATGAACGAATTAAATTATTCATTATTAGTCTCATTATCATTAATAGCCTATCTACTTAATTAGCGCTACTACAGCTGGAGACACCATGTGTATTTTGCTATCATTGTATTTTTAACATTTTGTAGTATTTTCTTTCTTATAAATCTAGCCCTGTTGTTACTGAGGGGTGATTGATTTTTGGTGTTTGTAATATTTACCAAGTTTTATAAGATTTATAAAACAAGTTTACATGAAAAACATAAATTATCCCTTTATTATGTTTTCCTCTATAGCAGCCACTGTTTTAAATCACAAAGATTTCCAAACTTTTGAATTAATTTATATATCATAAGCAAATAATTATTTAAAAAAAAAACGACTAAATGTTCTGGCAAATGAGGGTGACAGTAGATCAGCAGTATAATTAAAATGGTTTTTATTAAGTTTGTGGAAAAATCCTGGCCTGTAGAAAAAAGTAATTATAAAAGTTATGTAGGACTTTTGCAGCAACATTAAAAATAAATTTTTCTTCTTGAGCGCATCAAAATATTATTTATTATCATTGAAGTGTTTTGTTTGTTATTGAAAATTTATTTAGCAATAACCAGTTTTGTTGGCAAAAATTTGCTGCTGATATTTTTTGAAATTCTCACTTGGAATTTAACAACTTTTCTCTTGTGGACATATTTGTTCTTTTATGCAGATTAATTTCATCAAATTAAAATTAACTTGGCAAATTGGTTTATAATTTCAAAACATTTGTGTTGACTAGGTTTAAATAATTTTAATTCAAATATTAAAAACAAATAAAAAACATACTTCTAAATTATACATTTTTAAATTTTAAATTAAAAAAATTGTTTTCAGGTAACTCACTTACAATTTATTTTCTTTAATTAATTAACTAGCTAATTTTAAAGTTTCTAATCTTTTTTGTATGAAGTCTTAACCTTGCACTATTATTTCACATAGTCGCACTGTAAAACCAGTCACGTAGCTAATCTTGCACAACATTAAATTTAAAATTTATTTAATTTTTACATTTCTCTGATATTTGCAATAATCTAAAAACTGTTTCTGTTGTTACCTCAGTAAAGATGTTCCCTCCATTTATTTAACTAAAACATATATTTGAAAAATGGCGATTTTTGAAGTTACGTTTTGTCACATGGAGTTGAATTACCTTGTTATTGTTTTTAAATACATCGTTTTATAGCTTGAGTATATTGTACATTTAATTTGAAACTTTTTCTTTTCTAACATGTTCTAAAATTGATATTTTAATTGATCTTACTAATCAAACTTTTTCAAAATTAATTAAAGTTAAATTTAATTTAAGTTTGATAAAAAATAGTCTATTAATTTTTTATTAAAACTTCACACTAATATGACTCAAAAGTAATTTTAATTTGATATACTAAAATTGTTTTTATAAATAACAAACTTTTTAATGTAAAATAGAAACACAATTTTTCAAATATTTAATTATTATTTAACTTTTCTATTATTTTTTTAAAGTTAATTGATTAATTATTTGATTTATTAAAAAAGTATAAATTTTATACATACAATTTATCATAATCATTATGTAAATTCTATTTTATAAATTTTGTTTTTAAAAAAAAGTGGACTAGACACCACTGTAAAACAGATCAATCAAATCAAAAAGTAGGATCTTATCAGCTGAAGATATTTGCTACACCTGTGATATCACCTCCTTGAAGTTTACCAGTTGTAAAACCCTGCACATAGTGTACCCTTCACAGGTTTCAGTCTTTGTCTGCCCATTGGGTGTAGTCTGTCTAAATTTGTCTGCGTTCTTCCGTGTGATATGCTAGATTAAAAAAAAAAATTAGTAAACTTATATTCGCATTTTCTCCCTCTGTAAATAATTTGAGAACAAAAAGAGAATCTTTGATAACCTTTGCCCTGCTAAACAGTTTCACTGACTTTAGATTCCTATTTTTTTTTTGTAAATGTTAACTGTTAATAAATTCTAAATAAGACTTATTGTATAATACTCCCTTTAAAGTATATATTTGACTTCTTAAGTTGATTTTCTATACAATTTTAAAAGTATTTTATGCTATCATTTTAATGTGATCAGCCTGTTTAATCTATAGACACTGGAATACTTCATGTGCAGACTACTCTAATGTGCAGATAACTCTAGTCAAAATCAGTTATAGTTCTTGATCACATTTGATCCAAGTGTGTGTTTATTATTGCCAGTATTGTTTCTTTGTTGTCTCAAATTATAGTTTTTTATTCATACAGATTTGTCTAGCATTGATTCGTGTGATACTAATTCAAATTTTTTGAATATAACTATAAGTTTAGTGAAAAAAATATATTGTGATTAAATTAAAACCTATTTAAGGCTAATTATGTGTAGCTTATATATATATATAAACTCTACCGGTGGAGTTAACTATTGAATTATCTTAAACTTTACTTCTTTTTGTATAGTTTTATATACAGATACACATTAATCGCTATAGATGTTTCCTATATTAATAAAGAGTTTTATTAATGGTTTTAAAGTTGATTGAAGTAACATTATCAATCATTATCTGGAGGTTATTCAAGGTAGACAATATCATGTAGAGATCTGCCATTTCTATAAATGATGGACATTTTTTGAAACCATACATCAATTTTTTATACTCTAGGATGTTTATTTTTACAATTATGAATTAATTTTCTCCTAATTGACTTCATTTTCCATAATCTGGTTGGTTTCTATCACCAATAGTCTACATGTATAATAAGGGGGGGCGATATCCCGTAGGGAGTTGTAAGAAATATAATGTAGAAAATATGTTGTGTTAGGCTTACTTGCGGTTCAAATTCTTGAAAAAAAAAATACATAAAATTTGTGTCGAATTTAAATTTGTAATATCATTTAAGTAGGTGGGAGGTTGGGTTTTGTGTAATGTGTGATTATGGGGAGTAGCGGATTAGTTCTAAAATTGCATGAAGTTGGGTATGGGCTATCTCTTTCTTGACTCATATGGTTTGAAGTTTTCAACATTAAAATGCAAGCAGTAGATTAGTCCTCACTTGGCACAACTTGCTTTTGGTACTTAATGCAATAACCCTTCACGAAACACCTTTTGGGATTTTATTTTTTCCTAATTTTTTTTTTTCCATACATTTGTGGTGGAAGTTATTTTTAAAGTATCTAAATAAAAATTAATAATTTTTTTGTCTTATAAAAGTAGGAAATTTGATGTAAGGATATTAGTAACTATGACATTTCTCATAATCCAAGTCTGGATAATTAACAATAAAAATAAAAACTATTGCACATATCTATGTTCATGAATTGAATGATCTAATAACATATGTAAATGACATCACTTAGAACCATATAAGTGTAGCTTGACTGTAAGGCATAAGTAGTGTAAGATTTTTAAATATAAAAAAACAACAAATTGTATTGAAAAGAAATATGAAAAACCAATATGAACAATTGTTAAGCCTTTGGTCAGTGTGATTTGACTTATTCCTTTTGGGCCCCTGAGGAGCATAGGGTTGCAGCCACACCACTCCACTGGACTGGGTTTTGGCAGCTCTCTTTATATACGCCCATGTAAGCCTGGTAGTCCTTTGCTTCTCCTTCCACTTCCACTATATTTTCCAGAATTGTCACAGCCAGCCTACTTTTCTACTTCCCCTGGGGATTCCAGACCTTTGGTTATTGTATCAGTATAAAAATAGAATAAATCTACCGAATTATCCAACTCGTATTTTTGTTTTTAAACTTCCACCCATGTAAGCCTGTCAGCCCCCTTGCTTCTCCTTCCACAGGAGAATTGTCACAGTTGACCTACTTTCCTACTTCCCCTGGGGATTCCAGTCCAATGCATTGGTCAGTGTGTCAGTATAAAAATAGAATGAATCTACAGAATTATCCAACTTGTATTTTCATTTTTAACTTCATTTTGTACTAGATATTTTATAGAAATATAAAGAAGTTTAGGCATCAGTGTTTAAGCTAACAGGTCATGCTGCTATA